TCCCTTTGGCAGCTTGCAGCGGCAGCCCGTTGTGGGGCCTTCGCTGTGTGCTGCTGTTATCAAACCAGACCAAATCGTTGGGGGCCCCTGGGGATAGTTGGGGGCCCCCTGGGTATTGAGGGGCCCCCGAACCATCCCCCAAAGGCCCCCTGAACATCCAGGGTCCCCCCTTGGGGCCCCTCTGGGGCCCCCATGGGGCCCCCCTTGGGCGGAATTTATAAGAATGCTGCGGCTAAGCTGCAGCTGCTGCGGTGGGTTGAGTCTCTTGCGGAGTCCGAGGGGGCCCCCGAGGGGGGCCGCTGAAGAAGGGCCCTCAGGAGGTCCCTCCTGCTTTCAAGGGGCCCCTCACTTAACTCAAAAGGTAGGGCCCCCCGCCCCCCCGGCAGCTCACTGGGGAGGGGGCCCCCGTCGGAAACCGCTGCGTACGGCCTGGGGAGGGGCCGCTTGGGGGCCCCCCCACCGAGGGGGCCCCTGGGGGGCCCCCCGGGGGCCCCTCCGTGGGGCCCCGCGGGGCCCCTAAAGAGACGAACTGTTCGAAATGGAAAAGAACGGGCAGAATGGGGCAAAGAAAAAGAGCCCCCGCCTAAAGACAAAGGCAAGGAGGAGGGCCCCATCGGGGCCCCCGTGGGGGCCCCCATGGGGGCCCCTGAGTGCGGAAAAGGGCCGAGAGGAGGCCCCCCTAGCGGCTCTGGCAGCATGTCATCGCGCTGCGGGTCTGCTGTTGCTGCTGCTGCTGCTGCTGCAGTGAAAGCGGGAGAAGAGGCCAGGGGGCCCCTCTGCGCCCTATATGCTGGAGAGAAGGGGCCCCCCGAGGGACCCCCCCAGCGGGGACTGTCGGCAAAAGCAGGACTTTGGTCCCATCTACCTGTTTGGCCTCCGAAGGGGCCCCCGCGGACTAGCTGGGGGCCCCTGTCGAATGTGGGGGGCAGCAAAGGGGGGCTGGGGGCCTCTGGCGCCAGGAGGGGCCCCCCAGGGGCTCCCCCAGGGGGCCCCCGGGGGGCCCTCCTGGGGGCACCCCCTGCAGCAACGGGGGCCCCCACAAAGGACCCCATATGGGGGTCCCCCCCGCACTGCGGGCGCCTCCAGCCGAGGCGGCTGCCCGAAGACGCAGTCGAGGGGCCCTCAGAGGAGGGGCCCCCCGTTGAGGGGGGCCCCCCTGTGGAGGGGCTCACCCCTGTGGGGGGGGGCCCCCCCGTGGAGGGGGGCCCCCCTGTGGAGAGGAGCCGCCCTGCGGAGAGGGGGCCCCCTGTGGAGAGGGCCCCTGGGAGCAACGGGGGGCCCCCCGCGGAGTGGGGGCCCCCCCTTGGAAGGGGGTTTTCTGCGGACAGGGGGGCCCCCCTGTACGGGGGGCCCCCCTCTTCTGAACTGTCCAAACGAAAAGAAGAAGGGGTACCCAAAGAAGACCCACTGCTGCTCCTGAGGGCCCCCAATACTTCAGCCCAGGGGCCCTCCCCTTGTGGGGTCACCTGGGGGGCCCCCTCTCTGGGGCCCTGGCCCCACGGGAAGGGCGGTTCGGGTGCAGCAGCAGCAGCAGCAGGTGCTGCTGCTGCT